ATTTCACCATCCATGAAATGTAATTCTGTTTCAAGGGAGGAAAAACACAACAAAGCCTCTTTTTACTTGTCTGTGAATCACTTGACTCATGGCTGGCTTTCAGCTGTACAATGTTCCTCCTAACCTGTTGGGAACTGAGATGCTTTTCCATGTAAGTCCCAGAGCTGGCATTCACAATCAATAGGCTTGATATGTGTTGCTGTTATATCCTCTTGAGTGGACACAAGAGAACAGCAGCTCACTGCCAAACACCTGTGATCTCTATATTTGCACTGAAGGAACTTCTGCTAACATATTCAAAGGCCATGGTATCAACATCCATCTTCTTTAGACTTTTAATAGAAAAGAACCAGGAAGAAAATTAAGGTTCTGGGTGTGCTCCAGAATGTGTGGTAATCCTTGATCTTCCCAAGGACAAGCTATAAGTGGGGTGAGCACAAAGCAAGGGAGTAGAGAGGTTCTCAAATAGACATGCTGGTTTGGCAGCTGATTGTGGGATTGTCCAGAACGCCATTGCTGCTGGTACTGGTAATAGAGAGCCCTGTGTGGCCAGGACTGTGGACAGACCTGAGGACTAACTGCTATTTGAAAGGTACAGATTTGATGTCAGGATAGTGCAGGGTTGCAGTGACAGCAGGCAGCTCCATGAGGGTAGGTGAGCTGTGTGCTGAGGGTGACCACCAGACATTATGACATCAACAAGGGGCTTGAAACTGAATAGGCACTGTAAAGCTCATGGTAAGACCCAGTGACAGTGACTTGGATCAGCTTTGTTTCAATGACTGCCCAGCAAGTTTATGGTCATGGGATCTGAGCCAGAAAGTCAGTGGGCAAGGGTCAGGACAAAAGAGGTGTGAGACCTGACAGTGACAGGTGTGAAGGCTAAGAACTTCAGCTTGAAAACTTTGCACAAAGGGAGGACAGAGGAGTCTGTACTGAGGCTCCTTCCAGCTCCTCCTTCATACCCATTCTTAGCAACCAGGTGGCTGTGAGTGTGGGAAGCTAATCTCCCACAGCCAGTAGGGCTTGGAATTAGAATCATAGAATAGTTTGGGTTGGAAGGGACTTTTAAGCGTCATCTAGTCCAACCTTCTGCAATGAGCAGTGATGTCTTCAACTAGATTAGGTTTTTCTCAGCTCCTCCAGCCTGATCTTGAACACTTCCAGGGATGAAGCATCTACCACCTCTCTGGGCTATCTGTTCCTATGTTTCATTGCCTTCTTCATAAAAAATTCCTTCCTTATATCTAGTCTGAACCTACTCTCTTTTAGTTTAAAACCATTACCTTTTGTCCAATTGCTATAGGCCCTACTAAAAAGTCTGTCTCCATCTTTCTTATAAGTCCTTTTTAAGTATTAAAATGTCACAATAACATCTTCCTGGCACCTTCTCTTCTCTAGGCTGAACAACCCAAAGTCTCTCCGCCTTTCGTCGCAGGAGAGGTGCTCCATTCCTCTGGAAGTTTCTTCTGGCTCTCCTCTGGACCTGATTCAACAGGTTCATATCTTTCCTGTGCTGAGGACCCCAGACCTCCATGCAGGTGGTGTCTCATAAGGGCAGAGTAAAGGGGAAGAATATCGTACCCATTATGTTGGATGCCTAAGAAATAACATTCTAGGTTGTGCTTACTTGTTGGTATAGGAAAAGATAGTTTTTACCTCATCTCACACCACTAGAGCCTTTGATTCTGCATGTGTACATATATATATATATAAAATGCACATACGGGATACACTGAAAAGAATACTTGTTTAGATATATATTTATGTTGTTTGTGGCCATATATTAAAATATGTTACTAATCTTTGGACTAAATATCAAACCGTATGTTTTCTGGTTTGCTTTATGTTTAATTTCACTTCAATTTGGTAGATTCAATGAGCATGAGAAGAGCTCCACAAGAAATAATCAAAATGAGAGTAAAACATTGTCTAGGTTCAAGATTGACAATGTAGGAAACAGTAATGCAAAGCCTCCAAAAAAACTTCAATTGCACAAGGCAGGTGGTCACAGCAATATTTGCTGTAATTTATAGCAGGCTGATTATCTGATGCTGTTTCCTATGTAGACAGGTGTCATTCCAGACCTCTTATCACTCTGAAATTTCTGCTTGCCTCTCTATCTGATCTTAGTCAATATTCAGAAGTGAGTCACATGCATTAGTCATGTAGATATGCATTAAGTGTGGTTACCAACAAACGTGGTGTGAAATACAAGGAAGAATTAATGGAAAGGCAGAACTTTTATGTTGGAGAGATTCCTTTGGAAAAGGGACGTTGTTCCCAGTAATGAATTACCAAGGTTTTAACGGCTTAGACAGTCCCTGGAACAGTCATTAATGATTTGTCTGGGCAGGGAGACAATTTGGAGGAGGCCCAGGAAATATTAGCATATCCAAAGCAAGCGACAGTGCTCCACTGCTTGAGGAAACGAAGGTTCCAGTCCTTCCTAACTTCATTATGTTGTGCTGGAGAGAAGGTGGGTAAAGTTTGTGGTTACACCTGAGGAGTCTCAAAGGGGATGTGGTCAATGAAAGACAAAAGGTCTATCAAGTCCTGAACCTCTCTTTGTGAAGGTTTCAGGACAAAGCTGAGAATTGTATGCCAGCTTATTAGAGCTAATTGATCTGTGAAGTAGACAGAGGTAACTGTTCTACCTTCTCTGAAAACTGAGGATGAAAAGGTGTTTTTGGCAGGGGATAGGGACTGGGACCAGGGATGGCTGGACAGAGACCCAGATGATAACTACATTCTAATTGTAGAGATTTCTTAAGAAGTGGTAATGAAGGAATCTGGAAGAGTAAAACTGACTTGCCCCGGTGCGTGGAGTGAGATATGTAGGAGTGCATCCGAACTTCAGGAATCCAGGGAGGCTGGGGCAGCAATGTTAGAGGGGAAAAAGCAATTTAAAAAAAGTAACACTTTTATATTTTTCTGGTTTCATAATGGTCTTTCTCTGCAAGTCTCAGATATAAAATCAAGGACTAAGGAGGATATTTGAGCAGAGAATATCCTGTTATGAAATTTAATAAGTGCTGCTAGTACAATTTCACCCAGAAATCCTTCCACTTACTGTGAAACAATTACATTCTCTGTCCTCTCTCTCTTTCTCTTCCCCACAAGTATCAGAGTAGTCTGCCCACATTTTTGTTTACTTAGTGTGTGAGCTAAATTTGAGAATTGCAGCTTAATATGATTTTAATTTGTGTTAACATAACTGAAGTGGTTTACCAACTTTTGGTACCCCAGTATCATGAGAATGAAAGGGGATATTATGGGATTATCCCAACACCTCTATTTTATTTACATAAAACTCTGAAGGTAGTAACTATTTAGATGCTAAGAAAAAAGTTATCCTTTTTTTATCACAAGGATATAATGCATAACACTTTAATTGCAGACAAGAGAGCATAGCTGGAAACACAAGCCAGCATAGAGCTGTCAGAACTATTTCTGTCTCTAAATGGTTGGCTTTGAGCAGAACGCCAAAGATGACAAAACTCAGGAATCATTTTAGGGAGCTGCTGATGCTGAAAGTAAGATACCGAACATCTGTTTCTGGCTCGTTAGTTTACAAGTTACCTTGATGTGGGGAGAAAGATGTTTACTTGTTATATTTTTCCCTACAGCTTTAGCACGAGGTTTTATTGAGTCTCCTCTTTTATAAAGTGTGGTACCTACTCATACACAAAGCTGTCTTGCAGATCTGATGTTTTCTATCTAGATCTGCTTAACTGAGAGTATAGTCCAGTATCTAAGTGATGTTTTCACACTCACTCACCACCCTGCTGTCAAAGAGGACACTCCTCCAGTACCTCTTTTCCTGTTTCCCTAAATTTACTGCAAGGAGTCCTAGGTCAGTTTATTGCAGGAGAAAGGACTGCAATATATGTCCTCCAAAGTGCAAGTAACACACGCTAGCTAAGACAGATTGTCCTTGGGGGATGTCTCAGTGAAGACACCCAGCCCTCTGTCTGTGCTCTAAATCCTGAGGGTGCCCCCAGACCCCTCGAGAGATGATTGGGCTGCACACCAGTCAGCAGTTATATCACTCTCACACATCAGGGCTTTACTGATCATGAAGGGTCCAGCTGTGGGAGCCAAACTCCCTGATAATATTTTGAACTCCTGTGTCATTTCGGCACCATAAAGCACCTTCTCCTTTCAGTGTATGCAGTGGATGACTAGAGGGTGCTATCCTCACACTTCCCAAGTTTCGTTCTCGCATCCCATTCGGCTAAGTCTTACTACCCTTCTGTTTCTCCTCCACCTCCTTATAGAATGTTTAAGGGTGACCCTTCTCATTAAAGAGGTCTGTCCTCCTGAAATCCCTATGTCTTTCTTGCTCAGATAACTAGAAAGAGAGAGAAATTGGAGTCTCCTGTCAGAGCTCAAATTTGGGTGCTTCATAAACATACTTACACAAGCTACTGAGTATTCAACACATGTCCATGTTCCTTCCTAGTCTCTAAAAGTGTCTCACAGTTTTAGACAAGTCTCAATTTGTTGAAGGAGTGACCCTTTTTTTTGCTGTCATCAGAATAAAGAAAATGGTGTTCCCAAAAAGCAAATTTTCTGTTTTCTTTTCCTTGCTGGACAACTTTACCCAGCCTCTCCCTGTCAGTGTCTGTAACTTATTGAAAGGAATAAGAAACACCAGCCCTCTACTAACAAAATGAAGTCTTATGTAAGGGTAAGTTTTTCAGCATACTTCAAAGGATATCCTCTGAATTTGTGGAGGTTGCTTATTTTCTGTGGGGAACGATATTGTCTCTTAATTAGGCTTTTCAAATGTAAATTCCCAGCAATGAAACATTTTAAGGATAAAAGCATTTGTTTGTGGCATAATGCCTCAAACTGTCAACAAATCTGAGTCTGTAATCTCCATATGTTTTGATTACTTGCTATCAGAAGCAGCTACTTGCAAAGAAATACTTTTTTTCTTTTTTCTTCTTCTCCTTTTCCTTTTTTTTAACACTCTAGCTGTATGTACTCTGAACTTACACCTGGTGTCCATATTCTCTTGCTACTGACATATGACTGTTTGAGTGGGAACAAAACCACTTTGACAGACGGGCATAAATTCAGAAATGCCTAACAATCAGTTCCTGCTCTAACTTTGAATGCTAACGGGCCATTCACACCCTGTAGTTTCAGAAGAGCAGCCTATTCACAGCCTCAGGTCATTAGGAGAGAAGGGAGAGAGCAGAACATGTAGTTACATTAGTAAAGCTGAAGATTATGTTGTTGGGTTTGATGCTATAAAAATAGATAATAGATTGGAATAAATTGTCTAGCATCTGCATTAGAGAACTAAGTTACATAGTGCACAGAGGAAATCATATATCTTCAGTGCAAGCAGCTCTGTGTATGGCCAGTTGCTGAGAAACGGTGAAAGAAATCCAAAAGAAATTATTTGTCCAGGATTTTACAAATGGTTTCTTTAGCTGCAGCACTGAGATTTTATAGCTTCCTTGAGTCATCTTCAAAAGCCATCTCTAATACTGGACCACTCTGAGTGATCAGTTATTTCTGTGGGCAGATTCTGACAATTTTAGGAGAGGAGACAGACTGTCCAGTCCTCCTCAGTTGCTTTCCAGAGTGGCCTGTGCAGTGAACCAGGTATGCAGCATCAGTGTTCTGCAGATGTTGCATTAATTCCACATCATTTTTCAAAGAAAGATTTTGAAATGAAAGAAATTACACAGAAGATAAGTTGCTACATGAAAGGAAACAGTTCAGCTGGCTCACGTTCTTGTACTCTTCGTCATTCAACTCTTCAGGGAATGTGGGGTTGTAACTTGTGAATGCACAGTACCCTCTGCTCCACTGAACTTTACATTGCTGGTTTTTGTATGCTGCACTCTGCAAGGATTTGTTTCCTTTGTTTTGTATGGAGAGCCTGAGACCTTGAGAGATGACAATGTCCATCCTCTTTTTTTTTTTTTTTTTTTTTAAATAATGTCTTTTCATGCAGAGATATCAAACCTCTTGGCAGTGGCTTTGGGTAAGGTAGTTTAACTCAGGGCCAAAAAAATTGGAAGCAAAAAGCCCTTTATCATCTAGGGCTTATTAGTATGGCCAGAATTGCATATGAGTCTTTGTACTTGGTGTTTTCTCTTGGCTAGCTTCAGGCTTTTGAAAACATTTAGTGAAAAGGAAATGCTAAGGCTGAGATGGAATTTAGGACATCTGAATAGCACTCAGACTCTGTAAAATAAGCTGGCTTTTATCTGGACAAAGGTTGTTGACTCTTCTGGGGGATTGTTGTCGAGGATTTGACTTACAGTTTTGGCTACATGGCACAGGCTTCATTTAACCTTCATTCTGGGCATGTTTTGTTTATGATGGAGATTTTTCCAACCCCACCTCTAGGTTTGTTACCAGAGCATAAAGAGTGAATGACACTTCCTGGCCTTCTCCAGCTCTAAACTTAGAATTTTTTAATGATGACCTCCTGTTGTGGCTCCTTCCTCCAAGTTTCCTGTTACATTTTTCCCATGCACATGTTTTTTCAATTTGGAAGAAGCCTGTACTTCAGATTAAGGAAAGGAGCAGAAAAAGAAATTCCCTTTCTGAAAGAGAAAGCATTTTTGAGACATTGCTCTCTCCTTAATATCCACCTTAATCCATATGTGGTGTTTTTGGCCACACTGACTTCACATGTGGAGGCACTTGAGTTACAAGTTGCTATGGAAAAAGGATGGAACTAAAATGTCACTGCTCTGTTTTAAAAAGTATTTATAATTCATTTCCAAGATAGCAGCATAGATCATTAGAACCTTGTTTTTGGGAACACAGTGAATGTTCTGGTCGTAGTTACAACTGATTTAACAGGCTTGAGTGAATGGAGAGTTTGTCTTGTTTAGAAATTGCAGAAATTAAATTATTATTTTCTGTTGAAGGAGTGAAAATTTCTAAAAGCTATTTATCCATATTATAAAATCATTGACATCTGAGAAATGTGCACATATAGAAACATGTAAATTCCTGTGAGAATAGATAAATGCAGTCTGCTTTTCTGGTTCTTGATCTCATAAATACTTATTTTTATGTATCTAAATATATAATACTTTCAGGAGAGCAACCAACACAGCCTTGAGGGCTCTTGTAAGCACAGATGAGCTGTGAAGTGCATATATACATCTTTTCCTGCAAAATAGCTCTTTGCAGTCCATTTCTGTGTCATGAGGCAGTAAACACAGGCACAGGAGTGCAGCAGAGAGGCAGCGGCATGAATCCCATTCTTGCTCTGCTACTTGTGATGGGGCAGAAGGCAGGATGTGTCTGTGGCCAGTGCACTTTTTAGTTGCTCAGCATGCATATTTTGACCATGGCCCCTGGGAACTGCAGATGAATTTTAAGCTAAGATTGAATTGTGAAATGATATGATATGACCTGATCAACTGAGGACAGCAGTTCCTCAGTTTCTAGTCTGTCAGGTTTAAATCCACCCATGGGGCAGATGGTAACCAGATTTGAGACAGCTGCATGATGTGCTAAGACCCAGCACTTTAGCCAGCTTGCTTTTGAGGGTTTTTCGTATGTATGTATCTGCTCCTTAAAGGCTGTTCATCTTCAAAAATCAATATTTTGAAAGACAGAGGAAATCCTGTTAAATATTGACTTTCTCTTTAAATGCCAGATGTGAACTTTCCATCTGCTGATCCCTTTCTAGTCAAATGCCTGAAATAAGACTTTAGCCCTTCCTACATTTAAAATAGTCCTCCTGCTCCTTTCCCCCTGCAGCTTTTCTTCGCGCTCTTCACACCAATATCTGAATTTCTGTACTCTACAGGCATACAGAGATATATGATTTATTTCTACTCTTTCTTCTGATTTAGTCTAGCATTTTATTTACTGCTTCCCAGTCCTCTCATAGAGCTGATATGGTTGGCACATTAACAGAGATAAAATACTCACTGCAAAGAACTTGTAGATATGGCAGAACCTCTTAAACTGTGGATCAGACACCTCCTTTTTTCGCTGATCTATTATTTTTAGCCATCTATTATGGTCTCTGAACTGACGGAATTTGACTTCAAACTGAGTACTTGCACAGCACTGATAGCAGCTTTTCAGGAAGCTAAAAAGCCTCAGAAATGTAATGGTATGGATATGCATCTCCACACATTTTGCTGCTGTGGTGCTGATCTGTCCCACAGAGTGAAGTCTAGGGCCTTTTCTCTTACATGGTTAGGAACAAAAAAGAAAACCTTGGGATTACAACAGGGGACCATGTTTTGATCTGCAAAGTCACATCAGGGCTGGTGTCTGGTGAGATGTTTCCAAAGAAGTTTCAGTCTCAGCTTTGTCCACCTGGTGTATCAGGAGGCACTCTTGGGGCCAAGTGAACGATCATCATTACAATTCTCTAAAGCACTTCAGTCTCACTTTAGACTGACCTGGGGAGACAGATGTGGACTGGTTTAGGTAATGTGTTCTACCTCCAGCAGTGTGCCAAGGCAGCCCTGGTTCGGAAGACATTTAAACGTATTAATAATGTCTGAATAGGGAAGTCAGGCAAAGGGACTCTCCACAAACCCAGCCCTCTTTCCTACAGGTAGTTAGAGTACTCACTTGGGAGAGGGAGAAGGAATTGAGCTCCTACCTTCTCTCGAGTGACTTGGGTATCAGGGAGTTCCTGACCATTAGCTTAGAGCTTGCTAAACTGCTCCCGTTGAAATGGTTGTGATTTTACACGAATAATTAAATGTTTGGTGGATTAAGGACAGGACACTCCAGGAAGATCCAGTGTTTACAATGTATTTGAATGAGAAGGGTCATCTGATCTTTCCACCAAGTGAATATGCACTTTCTCTGCAGTGCAGACCAAAATCTTTTGGAGCAGTAAAGCTTAATTAATCCCTTTTTCAGCCTCTTTACATATATATATATATATATATATATATATATACACACACATATATATTTCCACCCTGATTTTGTGGGTATCATTCAAATGGGTATTTTCTAGCTCAGTTTCCTCTCTGAAAATCAGTCTTAACTGCAACCCCTCAATGCTACATAAGTTGCATAAGCACTACATAATGTTGGCTATGTGCCTGTATAGTTAAAATTAGGAACGTGTTTATCATGTAATTCCTGATTATAGATCTAGTTCTGAGTCAATCAGACCCGTATTTAAAAGCCAATTAGAAGTTTTGAAGGACTTTAGGCACTTAAATACCATTTCAAACTGTGGTTTTAGATTGCTTGAAAATGTTAGCATGCAGATAGATTGGTAGATAAAATAGTATTTACAAAACATTAAGATAGCATTCAGAGAGATCAAATAGCCTGGAAACAAGATGTAGACAAGCTAGAGGGTGAGTACCAAGTTTATTTTTTTTTTTTTGGCCAAAATATTGCTATGTGTTTAAAGGTTGTGCTGGGCTTTTGGACTGTGTGCAAACAGACAGTTTCCATTTTTCAGCAGGTCCTGCTGGGAATGTGCTGTGGCTGGGTTCAGAGACAGGAATGCTCTGAGCTTTGAAAACAAGGGAGCTGCATGGATGAGTTACAACACAGCCCACACTGACCCAATTCAAAAGGGGTTAGTGTTTGCCAGGCCAGATGAGGCTGCAGACTCTGGCCAGAGTCACAGCTCACTATAGCTACATACTGTCAGCACTAGACTTCGAATGAAGTCAGACAACATCTGTGTTGTAACCTTGCCTGGTGGCTCCATTTTAGTTGTTGATCAACAAAAAACCTGAGGAAAGCCCATGCGTAATATGGAAGACGGGGGATATTTGGACTTGAAGAAGCTGTGGGTGGAAAAAGATTGTGCTGTTTCACAGATGATAATGTTAGATCTCATATTGCTCTGCTCCAAAGTGAAGACCAGATCTTTGAAAATTCATGAAAGAATATGGGTTGAACTTTGAAGCACATTGGCTGGCCAGCTGCTGGCGACACACTCCCGCCTCCAACTTGGGTGTCAGGCAGGGAGCTGGAAGGAATTTTGCCCCAGTGAAACTTTGTTGAAATCAAAAGGAACCAG